AGCGCAATGTCGAAATGCGCGTCGGCCAGCTGGTGGCAGGGCGGCGTCGGCACCTGCAGGAGCACGCTCGTGCCTGGGCCTCCTGCGGGGCGCAGGGCGGCCGCCGCCAGGGGGTCTGCGGCCGCTCCGTCAGCGGCGAGGCCGGCAGCCGCAGCGAGAGGGGCCGTAACCAGAGTGTGCTGCGTTGCTGTCAGTGCCTCGTCGGCCACGTGTGCGGCATCGTCTGCCAGCGCGGCCCGGAACGTCGCTGTGGCCGCCGACAGGCTGCGGCGCGCCCGCAGGCTCACCGCTGCCAGGGCGCTGGCGCTCTCCAGGCCCAGGCGCCGCAGGCACTGCGGCAAGCAGAGGTGCCAGGAGGCAGCGTGCGCCGCAGTGGCCGTGAGTTCCACGCTCTACAGCCCGTGGTCTCCAGCGGCGCCAGCGAGGAAGAGTTTCTTGCGCGCCGTGTCGCACAACGTCCCGCCCACAGCGTGCTCGCACTCTGTGGCTAGCGCCGGGTCCGAAGCCCGCACTTCCTCTCTCGGGATGCCGCAGGTGCAAGCCAGGAAGCTGTGGTCACAGGCTGTCCTCTTGCCCCCGAGGGCACGTGTTTGTCAAAGCCCGCTGCGCGGAGGTCGCGGAGGCTCTGGTAGATCCTCCCGCGGGGCTGCCCGCAGCGAGGAGGCTCCCTCGGCTGGTGCTGCGGCGGGGGCCGCCGGGGGGCGGCCTGAAGCGCGCCTTGGCGGAGCACCAAGGCGCGGGGTTCCAGCTCGAGCCGCCCAGGAAGTGCCGCCATATCGACCTCCCGGCCTGGGTTTGGTGTCGTCTCGCCTGGGTTGCAGCGGAGGCCGGCCGCGGCGCGCGCCCAGGCGAAGGCTTCTTCGGCGGCCTGGGCCCTGCTCGCCCAGACCCCCCAACGTCGTGATGTTTTTCCCCAACGCCCACCCCCAGAGGTCTGAACCCTTTCCCCAGGACCAGTTTTTCATCCCGAATTGTTTTTCTGACGGCCCCGAGACCCGGCAGGGGCCCCCAGAGGCCGAAAGCACAGAAAAACCTCCCGTCGTGAAGTTGTCCCGGAGCCTCCAGGTCTGGACCCCTTCCCCGGAGCCGGTTTCTCACAGAGCGAGGGGGTCGGGGGCGGCGCACGCCCGGGAGAAGGCTTCTTCTGCGGCCTGGGCCCTGCTCGGGTCGCAGATGATCATCTACACGCTGGTCGGAAGAAGAAGGTAAAAACATGAAGCAGGAAGGCGGATTCACCAGATTGGGTTCGGGCCCCCCCAGAGAATGACAAACACACAGCAGAAGCACGTCGGCTCTTGAAGCAGGAAGGCGCTTGGAGTAGATTGGGATCTGGGAATCCGGTAATACCTGGCAGCAGTAGCCCCTCGCAGGGTCTGCCGCCGAGGCTGCGGCCTGCTCCACGGCACTGCTCACCGCCAGGTATCACGGGGGAACACCTGGTTGGTGAGGGCGTCACGGACCGCCGCCCGCCACCCCCGAGGGCCAGCGCTCTCTTCCTCCTCCTCCGCCTCCACCTCCGCCTCCTCCTCCTCTTCCTCTTCCTCCTCGTCCTCGTCCTCGTCCTCCCCTCCTCCTCCACCTCCTTCCCTCCTCCTCATCATCCTCGTCCTCGTGCTCTTTCGCCTCCTTCTCCTCCGCCCCCTCTCCTCCTCCTCCTCTCCTCCCCTCCTCCTCCTCCTCCTCCTCCTCCTCCTCCTCCTCTACTACTACTACCTACCTACTACTACTACTACTACTACTACTACTACTACTACTACTACTACTACTACTACTACTACTACTACTACTACTACTACTACTACTACTACTACTACTACTACTACTACTACTACTACTACTACTACTACTACTACTACTACTACTACTACTACTACTACTACTACTACTACTACTACTACTACTACTACTACTACTACTACTACTACTACTACTACTACTACTACTACTACTACTACTACTACTACTACTCCTACTCCTACTCCTACTCCTACTCCTACTCCTACTCCTACTCCTCCCCTCCATCCCTTTTCCTTACAACTACTTTCTCCCATACTATCGCACCCCGAGGCCAATTTTTAGGGCGGGCCCGGCGTTTCGCCTGAGACTTACTCACCATTTCTGAATCTGAAGCTGAAGATTGGCAAGGGCTTCACAGATGGAGGGCGGGTGGTTTTCAAAATGTTGCTTTCGCCTGAGCTCGGCGCACATTCGCCTTTAAAATTTGCAAGCGCTTCACAGATTCAGGGCGGGTGGTTTTCAAAATGTGGCTCTCGCCTTGGCGCGGCGCGCAGTCGTTTAAACAATTGCAAGAGTTTCACTGATTGAAGGCGGTTCCTTTTCAAAATGTGGCTTTCGCCTCAGCGCGGCGCACACTCTTTTTAAACATTTGCAAAGAGTTTCATGCAATCCCATCATCAACATACCAGAAACAATCTGTTGGAAAGATTCAGGATTATGCGGGTGCAACAGTTACGTTGATTCTCTGTGTTGAAGTCCTAGGTACGATTCAGGATCGCCAAGACGCAACAGTCAGGTTGATCCGCGGCGTTGAATCCCGAGAGCAATGTGCTTCAGGGTCTTCAAACGGGTGTCTTCCAACGAGGCAGTTCCATGAATGGAAATGAACCGCTGTTTGGGGCCGATGAAAAGAGGGAGCTTGGAGGGAGGGTTTACTCCAACATCGTCTATGACTCTTGGGTTCACACTGGTCCTCCTCCTCCTCCTCCTCCTCCTCCTCCTCCTCCTCGTGCTCCTCCTCCTCCTCCTCCTTCTCCTCCCCCTCCTCCTCCTCCTCCTCCTTGGTCCCCGCCCTTGCCTGTTTGCCCTTTCTGTTCGCCTGCTGGCAGCCAGGCAAGGGCGAGGCCGGCGCTCCCCAGGGGAGAGCGGGTGTCCCCTGCATTCGATTACTGCTGACATGCTTCACGATGATCTCGCTTGGAGCCTAACTTTCTGGTGCTACCGGCATGCGTATGGGCGGACAACGGGCCTCACGAGGTCTGAAGGTAAGCAGGTATGCCTCCTCTCTCCTCCCTCCTTCCTCACTCCTTCTCATCCTTCTCCTCCCTCCGCATCCTCCCCCCATGAAATTCCCCCTGCAAAGCCACCTGAGTGCTAGAACTTTCTACGCTCCACCGGGCAGCGACAGGAACCGTGCCACGCGACCCTGAGCATTCCGCTGCACAGCGACATCATGATAGTGCGTGCTGACGGGGGGCGGCTTCCCAGAGCGCAGCAAGCGCGACAAAGCCAACTGATGCCAAAGCAACGCAGCGGTGAAAGCAGCAGCGAGGCAAGAAAACCCTCTCATCCAGCAGCATTTGGCTCACGCTGCCTTGCCATAAGCTGAACACTCTCGGTGCTCGCGCGACACGCTAATCGCGATAGTTTGCGAGATTCGCTTGAGTCAGTCTCCTCGTGCAAATGTAGCATCCCACAACCCTCTTCTCTTTTCGCCACTCCTCCTATTGTTTCTCTCTCCCACGCCAGGATGCACCTACTCCCGAGTCGCCTCTACACGTTCAGTCTTCGCCTCCCGCGCTGCTCATCTCTCACCGTACCTCTCCCACTTCCCCGCCATCCGTCTCCCTCTCCTCCTCCTCCCTCCATCTTCTCCTCTCTATCGCCCCTTCCCTCCTGCCTCCTCCCCTTCCCTCCCCTCGCTCGCACCATTCCCCTTCCACCAGCCCTTTCATTCCCTTGGGCCCAGGCTTCTAATTACTGCGGCGGCCGCGCGCGAAACACGAGCAGCTGGTCCAGAGTCTGGGCTGCTTCGTCGAGGGCCATGGCCGCTGCAGGAGAGGGGAACGGTTGCCCTTCACCGCCTCCCCTGTTCTCCACCCCTCCCCCTCCCCCTCCCCCTCCCCCTCCTCCTCCTCCTCCTCCTCCTCCTCTCCTCCTCCCTCCTCCTCCTCCTCCCCTCCTCCTCCTCCTCTTTCCTGCTCCTCCCTCCCTCCTCCTCCTCCTCCTCCTCCTCCTCCTCCTCCTCCTCCGCGCCATGCCTCGGGTCTCCGGCGGCCGATCGGGGCGCTCCAGGCCCCCCCCCCCCGGAGCGCTCCCGGCGAGGCGCGGCCGCTGGAGCGCAGCCCGAAGCAGGAAGACCTCCGGGAGCCGACGACGACGCCCGAAAACGGCTCGCCCGCGCGCCGGAGGTCGCCGCCCCCGCCCCGCGCCACCGCTCGGATGCCCGTTCCCCGTGCCTTGTGCCCGTTGTCGCGCGCGCGCTGGCCGCTGCAGGCTGCTCCTCGACGGCCCTCGCCGAGGGGAGCGCGCACGCGTCCGAGCGCCGCCCTCGCCGCCGGGGGGCCGTCTTCGCCGCCGGGGGCCGTCCGAGCGATGCCCCGGCGCCAGACCCAGAGATCCGAGGTCGTGATTTTTTCCATACGGGGTCCCCAGGCGTCTCGGCCCATTCCCCAGGACCGGCTTGACGTCCCGAGTCGATTTTTGACGCTCCCGAGGCCCGGTGAGGGCCCCCGGAGGCCGAAAATTGAGAATAACCTCCCGTCATGTTTTTTTCATTACTCGAGGGGGGCTGGGGAGTCGCCCCGCCGTGCCCTCGCCGATCGGGGGGCCGCCGTCCTCGGCGCCGCCGCTGCCGGGCGACGTCCCTCGGGCGGCGCCGCGCCCGGCAGCGGCCTGGGCAGCTGGGGGGGGGCGGGGGGCGAGCTCGTCACCGTTCTGAGAGGAGGAGCTCCTCCTCCTCCTCCTCCTCCTCCTCCTCCTCCTCCGCCTCCTCCTCCTCCGCCTCCTCCTCATCCTCATCCTCCTCCTCATCTGCCTCCTCCTCCTCATCTGCCTCCTCCTCCTCCTCTGACCCCCCCTGCATACGTTCCCGCACGCGCGGGGGCGCACCTTGGACGAGGATCGAGGACGAGGTAGCAGACGACGACGACGACGACGACGACGACGACGACGACGACGACGACGACGACGACGACGACGACGACGACGACGACAGCTGAGGCGGCGGAAGCCGACCCTCGGACCTCTCCCGGCGACGGCGGCGGCGGCGGCGGCGACGACGCCGAGGACGGCTACGGCGGCCTTCCCCCCTGGGGCCGAGCAGGCGCTCGGCGGCCACGCCGAGCGCGCGGGCGTGCGCGCGGCATCGGCAGCAGGAGGCGGTGAGAGGACGGCATCTGTTCCTCGCCGCCATTGCCTGCAGCACTTTCGGCGCCTGCTCCCCTGGATACAGCCCATGGTATACGCACGGGAAGACCAGGACGAGTCGGAGAAGAAGCAGGAGGAGGAGGAGGAGGCCCGAAGCTCACTTGCTCTCGGGCTGCCCATCATCACGCGGGTCCTCGACAAGAACCTCTTCTTCGGCGTCCTCGGTCCAGAAGAACTTGACCTTTACCCAGAGGCCCGCGAGCCCGACGAGGTAGAGGATCAACACGACTGCGATTCCAACGACGATGTTTCCGCAGAAGGCATCTACATATCACCATGATGGCTGGCCAGGGCCACCCTGGGTCCCAGGATGGTGGGTAGACCAATTGGCCTCGGCCAGGAGGGCGTACACACCACCATCCTGGGGTCCAGGTTGGCCCTGGCCAGCCATGGTGGTGTGCAAGTGTCGCCTGCGAAGATGTTGCTCCTGAAGCCAGGGGTGAGTGACCACTCGCTGCCGGCCAGTATCCCCGAGAGCACCATGCTGACGCTGAGCGTGAGGAGCGAACCGGCCTCGGCCACGCTTCAGTGTTATGTGTGTATATACATATATGTATACATACCTATACGACCACCCTTCGGGTGATAAGGAGGTTCGGGGGGGAGGAACCAACGTCTCACTCGATCGGTCTCACTATAGTACAATCTCACTATCGATCTCACTATCGGTCTCGCTCGATCGATCTCACTCGATCGATCTCACAACCGATCTCACTCGATCTATTTCATTCGATCGATCTCAGAATCGACCTGACTATCGATCTCACGATCGATCTCACATTTGATCTCACCATCGATCTCTTCATCGTTATCACAATCGATCTCACAATCAACGTCATCATCAGCATCATCGTCATCAACGTCATCAACATCATCATCCTCATCATCAGCATCATCATCATCACCTCAGCACCATCACCATCAACATCATCATCACCATCATCGGGACACCATCATCGTCATCATCATCATCATCAGCATCAGCATCATCATCATCATCATCATCATCATCATCATCATCATCATCATCATCATCATCATCATATGGCCACCATCATCAAAACCATGATAAAAACACCTTATCATCATCCTCATAATCAACATCATCATAATCGGGACACCATCATCATCATCACCATCATCATCAACAGCATCGTCATCAACCTCATCATCACCATCACCATCGGGACACCATCATCATCTTCATCATCATCAGCATCATCATCTCATCATCTCATCATCATCAACATCATCAGAATCATCAACATCATCATCATCATCATCATCATCATCATCATCATCACATCATCACATCATCATCAGCAACATCAGCATCATCAACAACATCATCGTCGGGGCACCATCATCATCACCACAATGGCCATCATCATCACCATCATCATCATCAACTACATCGTCGTCGTCGTCATCATCATCATCATCATCATCGGGACACCATCATCATCACCATTACCAGCATCATCATCATCATCATAATCATCATCATCAACATCATCGACATCATCATCATCATCATCATCATCATCATCATCATCAGCATCAGCATCAGCATCAGCATCAGCATCAGCATCAGCATCATCATCATCATCAGCATCATCATCATCAGCATCAGCATCAGCATCATCATCATCATCATCATCATCATCATCATCATCATCATCATCATCATCATCATCATCATCATCATCATCATCATCATCATCGGGACACCGACGGGACACCGGCGGGACACTGGCGGGACACCGCGCGGCACAGGACGCTGGAAGGGAATCATTTGGTTCGGCCGCGCCTCAGCCGGAGGCAGGACACCGGCGGGACACCGCGCGGCACCGGTTGCTGGAAGGGAATCATTTGGTCCGGCCGCGCCTCAGCCACAGGAGACTTTCCTCGCGCCCGCCCACGCAGCTTCGCCTCGCCCGCACGCACGGCACGCACGAACACGAAACCGAAACCGATTTCCCGGTAGGGGGGCTCTCCGCTCCACTTCGATCTCACCCCCTCACCTCCGATACATAAACATGTGTATATATATAATATATATATATATATATATATATATATATATATATATATATGTATTCCTCTTCCTATATTCTTGCAAGCCAGGGCGGGGGGAAGACCCCTCACCCCCCCCCACAAAAAAAACGGACTCCCGGGATCTGGGGCTTTGGGACCCTCCGGTCGGGCCTCGGAGCGGCCCTGGGCAACCCTTCAGACCACCCGGGAGAACCTCACGAGAGTCCGAAGACGGCCCTAGACGGGTCCCTGACTCCTGATCCGCCCTACTTTGGGCGATTTCGAAAGTAGGGCGGAAATTTCCGCCCTACTTTTGAGGCCTCTTTGAGCGTCGATTTCCGCCCTTGAGGCTCCTTTGGCGTCGATTTCCGACACAATTTTAGGTCGGAAAATCATCCAAAGTACGGCGGATCAGGAGCCAGGGCGGCCCTAGACGGGTTCCAGGCGTTCTGGCGCGCTCCCGAAACGACCCCAGAGAGCTCCAATACGGTCTACGACGACCCCCGAGAAGTCGTCATACCCCCAAAGATCGTCCCGACACGTTCCAGGAGGCCTCCAAGAGCACTCCCAAGAAGGTTCCAAGAGGCAAACAGCATTGATTTTCTGTTGGTTTTTGGTGAATTGGGGGGTTCTTCTCTTTTCGGCTTCCCGACGCTCCAAGACGGCGGTCTTCTGGGCGTCCGAAGCCGCCTGGGAGGCTCCCAAATCGCCCCACAACCATCCGAAAGGGCTTCCAGGCAATCCAAGAGAGCCCCAAAACTGCACAACAGGGGTCCAAGATGGCCCTCAGAGAGCCCCATGGCGGCGCAAAATATTGCAAAATGGCCCCAAGACACCCTTCGAAGCATTCCAAATCGTGACCCGGTCGTTCAGGGAAATCGAAGGTTGGAGGCAGGGTGGCCCGAGGAAGCCCCCACCAGAGGCCCCCAGAACACACCCAGGAGGCCTCCAGAAGGCCTTAAGAAAACCTCAAACAACTTTTGTGAGGCCCCCAAGAGCTTTCCAAGGAGGAGCCGCCGCAAAAAGAGCTGAGGGAAATTGTCGGCTTGACCTTCCTGCTATTCCGCCTGCATACCAAACTTCAAGGACCAAGGTGCATGGCGCGAAGCGCCACTGCAGTCTTGTATATACATACATATATAAATATATGTATATATATACATATATACATGAAAGAGCGTGTTCTACCACTGCTGGCGGAAAACCAGGGGGGGTCACTGGGGGTTCCCAACCCGTCCCCCCCCTCGAAAACCGGAGGGGGTCACTACTGGTTCGAACCCCCCCCAGTCCATCATGAAAAGGGGGGGGGTCACTACCGGTTCGAACCCTACCGGTTCGAACCCCGCCACCCCTCGCCGCTGGCAAACGATTCCTGCCCCTCGGGACAGTTGGACAGTGTGGGGATACAGGGACAGTGGTGGGGACGGTGGTGGTGGTGGTGGTGGTGACAATGGTGTGGGGACAGTGGGACAGGAGGTGCGGACAGTGGGACAGTGGTGGGGACGGTGGTGGTGGGGACAGCGGTGAGGGGACAAAGGGACAGTGGTGGGGGCAGTGGGGCCAGTGGGACAGTGGTGGGGGCGGTAGTGGCGGGGACGGTTGTGAAGGCGGTGGTGAGGACGGTGGTGGGACAGTAGTACAGTAGGGAGAGTGGTGGGGACAGTGTGGACAGTGGGACAGTGGTGGGGACAGTGGGACAGCACAGTGGGACAGAGGCGGGGACAGTGGAGACAGTGGGATAGTGAGACAGTGGTGGGGACAATGGGGACAATGGGGAGAGTGGGACCGTGGTGGGACGATGGTGGGGACAGTGCGAACAGTGAGACACTGGTGGGGGCACTTGTGGGGACAGCGGGGACAATGGTGACAGTACAGTGGCGTGGGGACAGTGGGACAGTGGTGGGGACAGAGGGGACAGTGGGACGGTGGTGGGGGCAGTGGTGGTGGGGACAGTGGTGAGGGCGGTGGCGAGGACGGTGGTGGGACAATGGGACAGAGGTACAGTGGGGACAGTGGTCGGGACAGTGGGGACAGTGGTGGGAACAGTGGGACAGCTCAGTGGGACGGCGGCGGGGACAGTGGGACGGTGGGGACAGTGGTGGGGACCGTGGGGAAAGTGGGGAGAGTGGGACCGTGGTAGGAACAGTGGCGGGGACAGTGGGGACAGTGCGACAATGGTGGGGGCACTGGTTTTCTGGAGGGGGGGCGGTTCGAACCCGTAGTAAGCCCCTCCGGTTTTCTGGAGGGGGGGTGGAGACTCGAACCGGTAGTGACCCCCCGGTTTTCTGGAGGGGGGGGGGGGAAGGGGACTCGAACCGGCAGTGACCCCCCCCCCGTTTTCTGGAGGGGAGGGGGGGGAGGGGGGTTCGAACAGTAGTGACCCCCCCCGGTTTTCCGGAGGGGGGGGTGGGAGGGGGGTTCGAACCGGTAGTGACTCCCCCCCGGTTTTCTGAAGGGGGGGGGAGGAGGGGGTTCGAACTGGTAGTGCCCCCCCCCCGCTTTCTGGAAGGGGGGGGGTGGGGAAGGGGGGGTGTTGCCAGGAGGGGGGGGGGGGGGGGGGGGGGGAGGAGGGGGGGGGTCCAGCAGGGAAGGGGGGGATTTTCGAAGGGGGAGGTACCCCCGGGTTCCGGAGGAAGTGTTGGGGGGGAGTTTTCCACAGTATAGCGTTGGTGGATCACTCTCTCTCTCTCTCTCTCTCTCTCTCTTTCTCTTGCATACATTTAAGGTGTGTCGAGAAACATCGATCTACCTGTGTATATATATATGTATATACATATGTATATGTATATATCTATATATATATATATATATAGAGAGAGAAAGAGACACAAGACTGCAGTGGCGCTTCGCGCCATGCACCTTGGTCCTTGAAGTTTGCAGGCGGAATAGCAAGAAGGTCAAGCCGACCATTTAGCGATAACTCCTTGTTGCCTTTTCTGGCATCGCCGCTATGATAATGTGATTCGTTATCCTTCCTGCATGCTTCTTTTTCTTCATTTTCGCCATACCCTGCGCATTCTCCCTATCCTCTTCAGCTCTTTTTTGCGGAGGCTCCTCCTGGGAGAGCCTCTGGGGGCCTCACACAAGTTGTGTCAGGCTTTCTTAAGGCCTGAGGCCTCCTGGGCGTATTCTGGGGGGGCTTCCTCTGGCCACCCTGCCTCCAACCGCGGTCTGCCTGAACGACCGGGTCACGATTTGGAATGCTTCGGAGGGTGTCTTGGGGTCATTTTGGGCCGCCATGGGCTCTCTGAGGGCTATCTTCGACCCGTGTTGTGCCGTTTTGGGGCTCTCTTGGACTGCCTGCAAGCCCTTTCGGATGGTTGTGGGGCGATTTGGTAGCCTCCCAGGCGGCTTCGGACGCCCAGAAGACCGCCGTCTTGGAGCGTCGGGAAGCCGAAAATAGGAGAACCCCAGAATTCACCAAAAACCCACAGAAGATCCATGATTTGTTGCCTCTTGGGGCCTTCTTGGGAGTGCTCTTGGAGGCCTCTTTGGGGCCGTCCTGGAGGCCTCTTGGGCCATCTTGAGGTCACGTCGGTCACTCTTGGAGCGCTCTTGTGCTGTCTTGGGGGTCTCTGAGACGTCTCCGATGACCCCCCTGATCGCCCTAGGTGTGCTGGGAAGGCTTGGCAAAACGCCCTGCGAGGCCAGGGGGGCCGCTTCGAGGCCCGTCCGGAGGGTCCCAAAGCCCCAGATCCAGGGAGTCCGGTTTGATAGAAATATAGGAAGAGGAATATACACAGGTTCCTCTTCCTATATTCTTACGAGCCGGGGGGGTAGGACCCCCCCACCCAAAACCGGATCCCCAAGATCCGGGCTCCCCGGACACCCAGGGCCCCTCGGCTCGTCCCGGACCTCCCAGGGCGCTTGGCCGGGCGTTGCCAGCAGACCCCATAGGGGGCAAACGAACCTACCTCGCTTTTGACCACCCTCGCTTCCAAGAGCTACCAAGCGACGCCAAACTACGGCCGCACTTGTCAGGCCGCTCGACGGGGAGGCGCGTGGTATGACTTGGTTTTGCCTGGAAGCGAAAGCGTGGTAGGCAATTCACGCTCTGACCCCAGGCGATCAGAGCTCGCATCCCGCACGGCAGAGCACGGCACGCGGGCAGGGCACGGCACGGCACGCTGGCGCCACAGTCCTCGAAGTCCGAACCCGAGCAACGTGATTCTTGACGGCCTTCGGATCCCGTGCACGCGCCCTTTAGAGGAATACACGGTTGAGTCGTGCCGTGAAGAAATGGAAGCGGCTGGCCTCGGCGACGTTGAGCACGAGATGCCTGTACGGGCAGTGGAAGCAGTGCCACGAGCTGTAGACGACGGTGACGAGGAGGCAAAGCATGAGCTGCTGGATCGGGGGACGCCAACTGACCACCTCACCGATCATGGAAGGGCCGATGCCAGATGGCGAGGGGGAGGGGGGCAAGCTAGGTGCGCTCGCGTCATATCTGACATCCTACCCCTCCCTCCCATCCCTTACCATGGCGTAGATCCCCTCTCTACTCGCACAGTCGGATGTGGAGCAGGGCAATGATCCCGAAAGGGTACGCGATGCATTGTAGAGCACGGCATGGCATGGCGTAGAAGAGCACCGCAAAGCGTAGTATGTCACAGCACGGCGTGGCGTGGCGTAGTGAAGAATTGCATCACAAAGCTTTGCAACGCAAAGCATGGCATCGCACAGCGGCCCCGAACATAACATTGCATAGCATGGCGTTGAAGATCAAAGCGTAGCATGGCATAGCACGACGTGGCACTTAAGCACTGCATATCACAGCTTCAGCGGAAGGCATGGCATCGCGCAGCGGAACGCAACCGAGCAGTGCATTGCATGCCGTGGCATGGCACGAGAAATGACGCCAGCGCTGCAGCGGGAGCACGAGTCGAAACGAGCGGAAGCGCGGAAATGAGGCCAGCGCTGCAGCGGGAGCACGAGTCGAAACGAGCGAAAGCACGGAAATGAGGCCAGCGCTGCAGCGGGAACACGATTCGGAACGAGCTGGGCCCGAAAATGAGGCCGGCGCCTCAGCGAGAGCAGCATTTTGAAAAAAATGCAGGCAAAACCCCAACTCTGGGGAATCCTGTGTGTAAAAAACAATACGCGGGAGGGGGGGGGCGAACACTCCCAACCCGTCATCAGGGGAAGGAGGAGAGTAGTGAGGAGGAGAAGGAGGAGGAGGAGGAGGAGGAGAGGAGGAGGAGGAGGAGGGAGGAGGAGAGGAGCGAGGAGAGAGGAGGAGCGAGGAGGAGCGAGGAGGAGGAGGAGGAGGAGGAGGAGGAGGGATGAGGAGAGGAGGAGGAGGAGGAGGAGGAGGGAGGAGGGAGGAGGAGGAGGAGGGATGAGGATGAGGAGGAGGGAGGGGAGGAGGGAGGAAGGAGGAGGGAGGGAGGAGGGAGGAGGGAGGAGGGGAGGAGGGAGGAGGGATGGAGGAGGAGGGAGGGAGGGAGGAGGAGGAGGGAGGAGGAGGAGGGAGGAGGGAGGAGGGAGGAGGGAGGAGGGAGGGGAGGAGGAGGAGGGAGGAGGAGGAGGAGGAGGAGGAGGAGGATTTTTTTTGGGGTCGACCCATGATCAGCCACATGACTCCGCTGGCGTGGCGAGTGCCAGCGAGAAAAAGAGACAGGAGCGCAGCGGTGAAGGCACATCACTGCGCAGCAGCACGGCTCGGGCTGTCCACTATACAAGGACAGCAGACTGGGCGGCGAGGAAGAGCTATACAACCTGCAGCCGCCACCCGAGCAGGGTGCAACACGGGAGCCCTCCGAAGGGGTCGTGATGCAGAGACCCAGAAAGCAACTACAGAGCAGAGTAGGCGACGGCGCCACACTCTACAGAGCAGCAGCAAACGGATCCAGGAGCAGCAGACAGGAGGACCGATCGATCCACCCCGCACTCCAGGAAAGACACGGACCCACTGTACAGGGTCAGTCACAGGAAACAAGGTACAGGCAACAAGCGAGCCGCGGCAGCTGCTTGCAGCAAACTAATTGGCAGGGAAGATTTAACGTGTTACAGTCAGCCCGTGGCCGACTAGCCTTGCCAGCCGTGCTGGCGAAAGTTCCTGACCAAATTTTTCAACAAGCGTCCAGCGCAACATGGGGAGGAGGATAAACGAGGACGCCGCCGCAAGCGTCCTCGCAAACGAAGTGCCTAAGACTGCCCGCTGTGCCGCCGTCACCACAAGGAGCCTTCACCCCGTGGCCGCGCAGCAGCGAGCAAGGGCCGTGCAACAGCAGTGGCATGAAAGTGAACCGCATCACACACCCTGAGCAAAGGCACAATTAAACCTGACAAAACGTATTGACATCCACCCGCACTCCTGGTTTATTGTATGACGGGTGGAGGCCCTTTTGGAGACGACTCCAAGGATTACAATGCGAGGCCCGTTTCGAAGGCTCACACTTCTTACCTAGGCGATCAAGCCGACCCCCCGACGTGTAATAACCACATTTGTGGCAAATGCAAACGAAACTACCATCCGTACAGTCTATGAGCACACATCTATGCCCTAGATCACGAAGTACTGACGGGTGCACATGCAAAGCGAGCGAGCATGACCCACCAGGAGGTTCGACGCCAAACGTGCCACGACGACCACGCAAGCACGTAGCACATTGCCAATACGAGCCTACCCAATGCCATTCATGTGAAGGTTTCGCAGGAGCCTGCTCTTTAGCAGGTGGCTTGATTCGCTCTAAATCTTTGCCCAAGTCTAATCTAGGCCACAAAGACATTAATCTAGCACCCAAACGTCCTACAGCTCGGGCCACGGCCACGGAAAGATCCAGGCCCTCACGCAACTCGTCCGACGGGGCAGGATGCAAGGATGCCGCAACCTTGGCCGAGGTATCAGCCCACGCATTGCCTTGTCTTAAATAGCGATCCCTTTCGTCGACCGCTTCATCGACAGCAAGATGGGCTTTCACTTTGGATACCGTGACTTTGTGCATGTGCGGACGAGCAAACTGAGCCACGCCAGCAAACATATACCTGGCTGATATCTGCTCCATCCAGGGCATCCTGAAAAAATTCACAACATTTAAACAGTCCGAAAAAATGTCACACTGGCCTGTGCTCCACTGAATGGCGATAGACATGGCAAAAAACTCGGCTGCTTGTGGAGTCTGGGGGCATGGCCCCCAAACTGGTCCTCTGACTCTCACTAATTCAAGCCCAGTCTCCCTGTCAACCAAAGTGAAGGCCCAGCCAGCTCGGTTCAATTCTTTCACGATGTAACGCGAACACGATCCATCCACGAACATGTCTCCAGCGAACACACTATGAAGGTCCCCAATCTCTCCTTGGGCCCACTCCACCTGAATACCACCTTTATCCAACGGAGCAGGAAAAACATCACCCGGGTGAGGAAACACCCCAAAGACAGCCAAGTTGTCGTCCACCTGGCTCGCCCACTTCTGGATCTTTATGGGCACAATCGAGTTCCTTAGTTCGACTACATCAGGACACTGGCATTCCCACAATCTATGGCGGAGCGTGTCAGGCGCCTCGCCACACAGCGGGCACAGCACGTTCTGCAGCTGGTAGCCTAGGTCTGCCGCACGCGTACGAGTGTACACCGCGTTGCAAAAAAGCGCCCTCAGACAGCCTTTTTCAAAGGCAGAATACTTCGTGCTCTGGAGATAACTAAGGACCCCATCAGTGCAAACACGCCCAGACATGTTCAGACGAGCCCCCATGTCCCACTCGAGACCTCTCACAACAGCTTTGCGAAGCAAATTCTTAATCAAAGTAGGCGAGAACTCCGTCAATTTAACCTCCTCACCCTTGTCAGTTCTAAAAACAGCGAAGGAAGGCATGGACCAGGAAATCCGCTCACATGATTTTCTCAACGCCGTGATCGGCCCCGAAACCGACCGCCACAAAGGGGAGTCTCCCGAGAAACCAACGTCCCACGCCTCCCTGAGTTCGGGGAGCGAGAGACAGTGGGGGTAGGTCCGATGGTGAGCAATCCATATTTCCTTCGACCATCTGACCATCGGAGCGACCGACGCATACCAACACGGCTCGCCATGCGAAAGAAGAAGAGCCGTCAGCGATCTTCCAGACGCTGATGGTTGCAAGACTGACGCCGCCTGGCGCCGCAATCTCAACAGCTCGTAGTCGCTCACACCATATATTTCGGATCCGAAAAGCTCCGAGGCCAAAGCTCCCGAGGCAAAAACGTTTTTGGTCACACGGGCCCCAACCAAGGCCTCAAGCGGGCCAAACGGGAAACAAAACCCCGAGCTTTTTGTTCACGCTTCTTTTGCTTCGAGCTCCTACCAGCAACACGTCTAGGGCGTCCCACACAATCATCCACTCCTAGGTTCGCCGCTGAACTGACTAAGGGGCCAGCCAGGCCACCTAGGGCCAGAGCGAGATCACGCCCAAGCGCCTTAGAAGAAGCGATCAAGGATCTCTTTCCCACATCTTGACTCACCTTAGCTCCGATCCCCTCCTCCAGAATAGAAACCAAGGCTCTGACCACCGGTGGCAGATGCTCCACAATGTATCGCCGCGACCCCGTAGCACTGAGGCCAGAGTCGTCGATGTACAACTTAAAATGCACCTGTGGCGGAATGCACAGCATGTCGAGGGAAGCAATCGAGTGCACTCTGATCAACGCGGTGGCAAACGTACACCCCGCGATGATGCCCCCCAAGGCCCAGAAGGGCCCATCCACAAACCCGTTCAACACAAAAAACCGAGCCTGAAGATACATCGCAATCGCGAGCCGAGCGATCGCGAGGGGGAAATCCACCTGCTTGCAACGCCACAGGAGCAACTTGAGATCAATAGTCTCATAATATTTGTAAAGATCGAGCAGGACCGTGGCAGCTTCATCCTTACTCAATGTCGAGGTCTCCGCACGAACCGCCTGTCTCCACACCACGTCCTGGGCCCCCTCGAAGGGCCCAGCCGCGAAAAAACTCCGAGCGTTTTTGAACTCCCACTCTTGGGCCAGGGGCCTCCGCACCTTACCGTAAGCACGGTAAATCGCACAAAAATTCCCAATCGGGCGAAAACCAGAAGCTGGTTTCGGGATCAACGTAAGGAGAGTGATGGCCACCTGTCTCGGTATCAGCGCCGTGAGCTCCATCACGGCAAACAGACCACACAGAATTCTGAGCAGCTCATCACTCATGAAAGAGAAATGCCGCATGTGAAATCCGTCGACGCTGACAGAAGTGTTGATTTTGAAACGCCTGGAAAACTCACGTATCGCCTCCACAGGAACCTCAGGAAGTTCAGGGGCAAGCTCACCGACATGGAACCAGGGACCCCCACCAGCATCCCCCCAGAGGTCGGAAAAACGTTTGGACTCAGCTTGGAGCAACGACAAGGGGTCCGCCACCACCACTCCGTCCAAGGACAGGGTGGTGGTGGGGACCCATGGCGTCGCTCCTTTGGAAACGGTGTGGACCCTTCGGGCTCCCCGATTCGCCTTAAACAGTAACCACTCCTTGAACTCTTTCCTGGCAAGTTTCCTAGAAGCAGCCTCAATATTCACAAGCATGTCACGGCACATCTCATGCAAGTGATGGAAAAAATCAAGCATTGGGCCGTCTGCTGGCTCGTACATCGGGAGCTCGCGGACGAACTCCTCCAGCGAAGACCTAAAATTCTCCATCTGGCCTAGATCAGCGGCGCACTGAGCTGGTGGCTGCTCCAGGCGCTCGAGCACCCGTCCGATGCCAGACTGGTCTCCCACGGTCCAGTAGCACTCGAACTCTCTAAAGAGATTGGTCAGCCACCTAGCAGCAAACAGTGTGCCATCGCCTTTGCCAGGGTCCTTGGACAGCACTGGGCGCCAGCACATTTGGGGAGGCTTACCACGAGAACCCCAAACAGGAAGGACCTTACCCGTGGCAGCGGAGACCTCACGCTCGGCAGCATTCGCCCAGTGTTTATAGACCAAGTCAACCGAGTCCTGAACTCGTTCGAAATCCCCCACCGTCGCCGCTCTACGAGACGAGCCCAGCACATCATGCAGCCACGTCGGAGGCTCACAAGCGGCGACGAGGCACACAGGCGGGAGAGGCGACGTGGGCAGCGGAGGGGGTTTCCGAAAAGACAAAGCCTGCAACCGCCCGAACTGCGGATGCATGCTAATCCTGACTGGGACATGCGTACAGAGGTTGGTGTCACGGATGGCCTGCACGCTGCTGACCGTCTTGGCCAAGTCAGAGGAGGCAATAAAGAAATCGTACTGCTTAAGACCCGCAACAGATTTCATCGTGTGACCCTCAGGCACCAGGAACTGGATGCTTTTCTGGTCCCCCAGGCCCCCAGTCAGGAGCTGCTCAGGCTCCATGTTAAAATCCGCGCCCAGGAAAAAAGGGAAACCGAGGCCCTCCCCCAGGGACAAACACGAACACAAGATATCGATGTTTGAATCCGAGAGGTCCTGGCAGTCATGGAAGTAGGCGGCCATCACCAAAAACGTGGGCTGCCCAGGCACCTCGACGATGCCTGCCAGAGCCCTCGACGGTATAATGATAGCTCCAGAGTCAGGAGCCCGCAGACCAAGCCCATCACGAACAAAGAGAGCGACTCCCGATGACGGGCCTTGACCATCACCAGGCACAGCAGCACTCCATAAACTTTTCCACCCGTGGCGTCTAGCCCAGGAAGAACCAGAATCGATTTGGTTAGCCAACTGCTTATGCTCCTGCATGATCACGATATCAGCACTAGTCTTCTGCAACCAGAGCTGGCCAGGCCCCCACCCTGAGACATTACAGGTTTCAACTGAGGGCGAAAAAGATTCAACAGGAAAAGCATTGGCCTCCATGGGCCTGATCAACTGCACATCGGACCTGGGAGGAACACCAGGCAAAAGCGGGCCCCTAAGGGTCATAGGTTTCGACGGCCGAGCAGAAACACCATTCGCCAGCAGGGCCCCCTTGGCCCTGGCTAACGTATGCTGAACCGCCCGAACGAGAGGGCCACTGTGGGCCCACAAAAAATTAGTATTAGAGACCGCATGTGACTCAGAGGTGCCCTGGGAGATCCACTCAGGGCTGGCCAACACACAGGCTGCTGTGGGGGAGGTACCCCCTCCGTTGGAAGAAGTCAAAAAATTCTGATCTCGCTGGCTCCCCCCCTCAGGCGCTCTCACCTTTGGGGGGGTCTGATTGTAAAATCTTGGCTGCACGCGCCTTGGCATCAGAACTCGCCGATGGCGCGCCCGTACCGCTTGATGGAGCCGCCGTGGGGGAAGTCGACTCTTGACCAGCCTCCGGAGCTTCACCACCAGGAGCCTGCGCAGTGGCTGAATGACCCACTTGCGGACCATCATCTTCAGCTCCTGCAGCGGCACCTGGTACAAGAACCTTCCGCTTCTTGCCAGCCAAGCGTGTCTTCTGCTCCTCCATCTCCTTACGAATGCGTTCAGCATGAGCCTGCGCGGCACCAAAGAGTTTCTTCGCCTGCTTCTGGATCTCGTCGTTGAGTGTCTTGAGCCGAGCCGCAGCCTCGTTTCTGTCCTCCTCGTTGAGGTCGTAGTCTGCTTCCCACCCCAAAAGGCTGGACATGTCAATGGGTAGCGGTTGTCCACCAAGCAGGTCAGAGATGGAGATCTTGACCTCCTGCTTGACAGAGCCCTCGGGGTTCCGAGGCCGATCATCCACCGACTGGTGCAACTGCTCCACCAGCTCCTTGTGTAGCTTCTCCGAGGCCTCCAACTGCGAAGTAATTGACTCCACATTGGCGCGGGCCTGGACCAGCTCGTTGGAGATGCGCTCGAAGGACTCCACCGCTTTGGACAGTCGGGCCTCCAAGCTCCGCATGCTGTGGTACGCCTGGTTGACCTTCTGCTGCAAGGGGGGCTCAACCTTCTTGGCTGCGGCCATCTCGTCGAGCTTGTGTTGATAACGCTTTGCTGATTCTTCGCCACCCTGGGCTCGCAACAACTGTACCAGTGATGCAATCCGAGTGTTCTCGTCGGGGGGTAGCTGGGCTCCTCCTGCGCCTGGAACTTGCGGGCCAGGATGAAGAGGAGCAGCACCACCGAGAGCCAGCATCGGATTAGCAACCCATGTCCCTGGGGGCGGCGGCCCCTGTGCCCACACTCCGCGAGGAGCGGCGGGCTGTTGGAACGATGGTGACGAACGCCAAGCCCAGCAGTGTTTGCACTGCTGCCAAGCCTGCTTGTTCTTCTTGCAGCCGCAACTCGGACAAGTCCACCTCGATGAGGGTGCATCGCCGTGCTGGGCGCCACCCTTTCCACCGAACGTAGTACCTGTCTTGCCTCCTTTGCCGAATCCTTTGCCTTTGTTGAAGGACTGGGCATACTGCTGCTGCTGCGCCTCCAGCTGCCAAGGCGGGATCGGCCCTCCCCAGTTCGCCGCTGCTGGGGAAGGCACCGCCATCGCGCACACAACTGGATGGGTATCGTGGTAGGAAGCGCGGGACTCCGCCCGCAGAAACGAAAAAAGGCTCGCAGGAACGCGGGCCCTTCTGAAGAACTGTTCCTGCAACGCTACTCGAGCGCAGAAGGGCTAGGAGGAGGAGGAGGAGGAGGAGGAGGAGGAGGAGGAGGAGGGAGAGGAGGGGAGGAGGAGGAGGAGGAGGAGGAGGAGGAGGAGGGGAGGAGGCGAGGAGGAGCGAGGAGGAGCGAGGAGGAGCGAGCGAGGAGGAGCGAGGAGGAGCGAGGAGGAGCGAGGAGGAGCGAGGAGGAGCGAGGAGGAGGTGGAGGAGGAGGAGGAGGAGGAGGAGGAGGAGGAGGAGGAGGACCTGGCCAGGGAGGCGCAGCCACCGATCCCGTGTCCAGGATGGCACCGGCCAGGCTCGGAGAGAGGCGGCCGCTTGAGCCCCCCGACTGGAGAGGGCAGTAGCTGGTGGGCGACGCCGTCACGAAGCAGGCGATCAGCATCGTCTTGCTGAGGCGCCCCGCCTCCCACCAGTGGAAGCCCGCGCGGTACGAGCCCGTCAGGAAGCGCACGGGCCCGGCCCGGGGCGCGCCCTGCTGGCGGCGCAGCAGCGCCCGCCAGTAGCCCGGGCCGGCGGCGAAGGCGAGGGCCAGGGCCGGGCCGCAGGCCGCGAGGTGCCGCAACCTCGCGCGGCACTCCTGGGCGGCGAAACGCCCGAGAGCCCTGCGGCCCGCCCGTGTGGCCGCGAAAGGCGCGCGGTGCTGCGAGCTTCTCAAGCAGCATCGGGGGGGCGTCGCCCCCCGCCGGCAGCCCCACCTCGGCCCCCGCCGCGGGCAGCCACCGCTGTGCCGAAGGCGCTCCGACCCGCGTCGCGGCGCGACGACGAGGCGAGGTCCACCCGTCGGGGGGGTACCCCCCCACGCTTGTAAAGAAAGCCCGAGTGAGGATGCAAGGGCCTTGGACGGCGAAGGGAAAGGATGCAAGGGTAACCTTGGAAAGGTGCTCATCCTGACTGTGCGGGCTGCCTGTGCCTCCAGCAACCACCGCTTCTCCCGCATCGATGGGAGGCGGGGGGGCAGGGTTCGGATTTTGCCACCCGCTCGGCGAATTCCGAGCCCTGCCCCCGACGCCAGTCGAGTGGGAGAGGGCCCCCGACCTCTCGACCACTTCCCCGGGACCGGTTTTTCATCCCGAGTCGTTTTTGTTGACGGCCTCGAGGCCCGGCAAAGGCCTCGAGGGGCCGAAAACGCTGAAGAGCCCTCCGCCTCGAGCTTTGCGAGGCGCCCGACGTCCAGGGCTGCGGATCGTGGGTCGGCGGGTGTAGGGATTTCGCCTCCGAGCTCCGCGTCGGGATCGTAGACCATGAGCTGGACCAGGTCCTGCCCGTCGACGGCCGCCTGCGTGTGGAAGCACGGCAGCGCGCGCATGCACGCCGAGGCCACGCCAGGGAGGAACTGGTTGCCGGCCACCAGCGAGCTCGTGACCAGGCCGCTCGCGACCTCGGCTCGGAGCTCCTCGAGGCCGAGGGTGCCGCCCGAGAGGGCAGCGCGGCAGCAGGCGCGGGCGGCGAGCAGGAGCACGACGATGGCGAGCACGCACGCGGGCAGCTGCAGGGAGAGCGCCAGGAGCCTGTCCACGGACGCGGCGCCCTTCCCGTCCATCAGCGAGCAGTCGCTGCTGGACGAGTAGGTGACGTCGCCATGCTGCGCCGTCTTCCGTGTCAGTTTCAGCACCTCCCTGGCGCGGTCCGTGGCGTTCAGCTCGCGGAAGGCAGCAGTGGACGTGACGGAGGAGACTACCACGCTGATGCTGGAGAGGTAGGCGAGAACGATCTTCACCACGTCGTTGGCCAGCGCCTCCGCCATCCCCCTGGACGCCGCCGCGTTCTCCGCACTGCGCATCGACAAGAGGAAGAGAAGCAGTGGCTGCGCAAGCCAGGCGGCCCACTTCTCGGCCGAGCCCGACCTGCGGCACCGCTCGCACGCAAACGGGTCTGTGCTCTTGCGCCCGAAGCCTGGAAGGCACTTTGTGCAGCCGGGCGTCGCGGGATCGAAGCCGCTGGCGCACATGGGGCGGTCCTCTCCGGCGGCCTCGTCGTGCTCGTCAAGCCGCAGTGGGCAGCGCATCGTCTCGGTCTTGGTGCTGTCCTCTGCGGGCCTCATCGTCCGGCGGCGGGGCACCGAGCAGGCGTGCGGATTGGGGCACTTGTGCGCGTGCGTGCCGTGGGCATCGGAGGTCATCATGACGCCGAAGGGGACCTCGACTGTAAGGTTCCCCACTACCGATTCGATGCCAGACTCTCTCTTGAACAGGTTGGCGCACTTCAACTCCAAGGACCCCTGCACGATCTCGCGGCTGCTCCGCAGATGTAGCACAGCATTGTGTGACATGTACGGCACCTCCTCCGCTTTCCTGAGGATGTCCAGCACATCGGGCCCTGCCGCGGAGGCCACCTTGGCCAGCGTACGACCGACCTTGATCGCAAAAAAACTCGCCTCAGGACTACTCCGCTTCGCTGGTATGTCAGCTCCTTCACGCCGTGCTGTCCTGCTCGACGACATGTACGGCAGGGCCGCGCTCAGTGCTAACATCAGAGTGGGCACCAATGGCTCCAGGGCCGCGGGCTCCAGCTTCCAGAAGAAATCGGCGAGCCTGCTCAGATGGCGGAAGCCCTGCTCCCTCCCGACCACGGCAGCTGTGCCCCCCCCTCCCGACGCGCGGAGGGTGGTGACCGCACGCGACAGGTTGAGCATGACCCGCTCCGCGGCCTCGACCCCTCCGAGCTTCGACAGGGCATCCATGGCCTCCCGCCGCACCTGGGAGCAGGGCGAGCCGAGACCCACGGCACCCCCCAAACCGGCGGCCCCCGGACCTGGCCCCCGGGGGCCAGGAGCACCACGGCGCTCGACCTGCTGCGCCCAGCCGCGGCGACGGGGGGGCCCCCCGAAGGCCACCCCCCGAGGCCTTCGCCGCGCCCCCCTCCTCCTCCTCCTCCTCCTCCTCCTCCTCCTCCTCCTCCTCCTCCTTCTCCTCCTCCTCCCTCTCGTCCTCCTCCTCCTCCTCCTCCGCTCCTCCTCCTCCTCCTCCGCTCCTCCTCCTCCTCCTCCTCCTCCTCCTCCTCCTCCTCCTCCTCCTCCTCCTCCTCCTCCTTCCCCTCCTCCTCCCCTCCTCCTCCTCCTCATCCTCCTCCCCCGTCCTCCCCCTCCTCCTCTCATCTCCCACTCCTCCTCCTTCCTCCTCCTCCTCCTCATCCTCCGCCTCCTCCTCCTCCTCCTCCTCCTCCTCCTCCTCCTCTCCTCCGCCTCCTCTCCTCTCCTCCTCCTCCTCCTCCTCCTCCTCCTCCTCCTTCCTCCTCCTCTCCTCCTCCTCCTCTCCTCCTCCTCCCCTCCTCCTCCTCCTCCCTCCTCCTCCTCCCCCTCCGAGCACCTCGTCCTGCAGGTCCTCGGTCACCACCTGCAGCAGCACGGGCAGGGCCTCTCCAGCGGCCCCGGGCCCCAGCAGCCTCGGCAGGGCGGCCACGGCCGCCAGCCGCACCTCCCACTCCTTTTGGGCGCCCGACGTGGGCACGCTCCTCCTCCTCCTCCTCCTCCTCCTCCTCCTCTCTCCTCCTCCTCCTCCTCCCCTCCTCCTCCCCCTCCTCCTCCTCCCCCTCCTCCTCCTCCTCCCACGCCGACAGCGGCCGCTGCCGCCCAGGCGTCCTCCTGTCGAACATGGGCACCGCCCGCGGTGACACCGACGGCGAGGCCAGTTTCATAGTAAGCCAGAGCTGGCGATGGCTCTTCGTGCCCGTTCTTTCCGCGCCCAGTTCGCTCGTGCCGACTCCTCTCGGCTACGCGCAAGAGTGGCCGTGGGCAAGAACGATCCCTTCGGTGCGCAGCTTCCGGGGGCCGCGGGGAGGCCGAACCCGAGCGCGCAAGCCGCTGCCATCGCATCGCACTGAGCCATCTGGGGACCCCAGTGAGGGACGAGCAATGGCATAAGCAGAGACTGTTGGAGGTCCGCGCGGATTTCTCGGATCGGCGCTGGACCCCCCCCGCCCTGGCGCCAGGGGCGGCGACAGAGGCGCCGCCACGGAGCCCCAGCGCCGATCCGAGAAATACGCCCGGACCTGAATTTTTGGGTTCATGTCACTGCTTGCCCCCTATAAGAGGGAGGGGTGGAGGGAGCACCTCTGGACTCGTCGCCCTCATCGTCCTCGCCCTCGTCGCCCTCGTCGCCCTCGCTGTCCTCGTCGTCCTCGCCCTCGTCCTCGTCGCCCTCACTGGCCTCGTCGCCCTCGCCGTCCTCGTCTCCCTCGTCGTCCTCCTCGCCCTCGCCCTGCTCGCCCTCGCCCTCGCCGCCGCCCTCGCCCTCGCCGCCCTCGCCCTGCGATCCTGGTCCTCCGCCGCCGCCCGCAGCACGGCGCGCACGGCGCCCCCGGCGGCCCCTCGCGCCAGCAGCCCCGGCAGCGCGCCCACGGCCGCCTGGCGCACGTGCTTGTCCTCGCTCGCGCTCGCGGCCCGAAGCAGGCCGGGCACGGCGCAGTCGGCGGCCGCGGGCCCGCCGAGACCCAGGGC